CAACTAAAACCACCCAACACCTAAGGGGATGGCTGAAGCAGGGTGTCGCCTGGGGTCCCTGCAGATTCCCCCAAAAACCCCCAAAAAAGAAAAGAAACCTGCTTTCCACAAAATGAGGCAGATGGCTTTTCGGGTTTCCGTGTGGTAGGTGTGTATCAATCTTCTAGGGGTAGCTTTCATTTCCATTCTTTCCAGGGATCCTTCTTTCTAAAAAACCACCAAGAACCCTGGGAAACAGATCCGGCTTTTGCTAAGAAAGATGGTTGAAAAGAATGGTTGGAAGGACTCAACTGCTAGAAATCCAAGTCGCCAGACCTTTGTGAGCCGAGGAAAGCCATGGAAACCCTCAGGGTATAACACCTGCCCCAGTGCCATGGGGCCTGGAAGCACCACGGAAGCTTGTTTTATGGGGGCGGGGGGGAGGGAGGGGAGGGGGAGGAGCCTAAATAAGCCCTTAAGCCCTTAAGGCCTTATTTAGGGGCTTATTTGGGCTCCCTCCCCTTCCCTCCCCCCCCCGCCCCCATGATTGGTGGTTCCCAACCATCCGGTTCCTTAGTGGGGGCTCCCTCCCCCTCCCCTGCCCCCCCCATGATTGTTCATTCTTCAGAGCAGGCCTCTCGTTGTGTTTTCTCTCCGGATGCTTGTTCCAATGTGAAACATCCCGTGAATTCCTTGATCAACACATCAGCACATCTATTGATATTCTTGGTAAGTCATGATCACCTGACACTTAGTGGTTCGTTGAATTCCAGTCGAGCTTTTCGTGGCACTTGTCAGTCACTTCCTGAGTGGATTGGCCAAAACAAGTCTGAGCTGTTTGCTTAATTGCCGCTGAAATGGTCTTCCCACAAAACATAAAGTCCGGCCATCCTAAACACCTCGAAACTCAAGTCTAAAGTTCAAGGACCCCAAGGACCAGGTGAGTCTTAGTCAAAACCTGGTGTATTAAAATGGATCGCGCCCAAACCAATGCAAGATGTCAAAAGCCGGCCCCTTTCAATGCTTGGCCTTGTCCCTGACTACATCTACCCGCGTTTTTCAGTAAGTGGCTCAGATTCTCGGAACCTTGGTCCCCAAATTGTCACAACATTGTCAAATCACGTGAGCTTGCTATGATTCTATTGTCCCACCTAGGTCACTGGATCTCAGAGAAACTTGAGAGGGTGAACAACGACACGCACAGGGGTTGCCAACATTCTCAGAATCGCAACCTTAAATGAACATCCCAAAAGTCATTGTGACCGAGACTTGGACCAGGCCCTGGTGAGAACGCTATGTGAACGAGATTATGGGAACATGCTGGTGCTGGGCGGGGGGCGGGAGGGGCAAAGGGGGAATCGAACCCTCCAAGGGGGGTTCTTCCCCCAAGCAAAGATCTGTTCTTGCGATTCAAGTATTTTGAGGCCCCCCTTCCCGCCTCCAAACCTTGATGATTCCCCATTCTTTTCAACCATCGTTCTTTTCAAACACCAGCTGTTTCCCCTGGGGTTCTGATGGTTTTCTGGAAAGAAGGATCCCTGGAAAGAATGGGGAAGTGTCCCCTAGACTTGTGCTGGGCAGCAAGGCCTGGTCCTGTCTCCCGGCTTACCTGCTACGAACTACCCGGCTGGTCTTTTTGAACGCACAGGCGGCAGGCAGCGTCGGGTCCCCTAAAAAAAGACACGCCTGTCTTTCTACATAGCACAGGCGGCTTGGGCGGATGGCTCCTGTTGAGGGAACCCGCAGGTACCGGCCAAACGCATCTTGCGCTGGGCAAGATGTCCCGCCCGCAAACAGAAGGAGTTGTTGCCTTGATCCACCCTTCCACAAAATTACCACGGTTCCCAAGATTTCCCCTTCAAAGATAATACCCCTGCCAAGGGGAAGTCACATCAAATTGGCCAAAAAGACGTGACTTTTACAACCACCAATAAGGGAAACATAGGGACTCCTGGATATGGCGAACAGTCGGCCCGTGAAACGTCTTCCATGGGAGCTCTTTGCGGCGCGCAAAAGAATCCATCGGGCATCCCTGCTTGTCAGGGCTGGCTTCGGTGTCGACACCCCGGATCTGCAACTCGTGCCTGAGGAAACCACATCCGATTTGGCACAAATGGGTGCGTGTCTGTGTGCCAAAACTTTGGGATTACCCTCACAATGGCCCAACAGTTTTCCGGTGTGGTTTCCCCTTCAAGCTGTGAACATAATAATTACACTCAGGCACACACACACACAGACAGACACAAATGGGAAACACGGCAAAAGTGAAGCCAGTGTCTTACCTTACGCGCCAAAAGGGAAGTGTTGGTCTTGCACCTTGCGGAAAAAGACCGCCCCAAAGTGTGTACCTTCTGATCAAAGGGGTTCTTAGGGTTCTGTCAACCTTTCTGGGAGGAGGGAGCTTGGCCCTAAAATCTCTCCTGATCATTGTATGTTGATGCCATGAGAGGGCGTAAATGACGTTCCCCGTTTTGCGGGAAAGTGAAGAGCCATCGATGACACGCACAAACTGTTTCCAGGGGTCACCTCCCGACCGACCAACAAAGGCCCTTGGCAAATCCAGAAAATATCAAAACCAGGCTGGCCGAGTCTATCCAACAATTTTCAGAACCAAAAGGACGGATATCCGCACCAACTTTTCTGCTTGGGAACGAGGACACGTTCAATCTGACGGACACCCCGGAGCTTGACTGACGCCAGCAAGCGCAGTCAGTGAGTAACGGGCCTTCGCTTGACGTCAAGGTGGGTCTGAACCATTTTTGTAGGTACCCTCTCATGCAAACCCTGGATTAATTAAAAAATGAACCTAAAAGGTAGGGGGGGGGTGTTCCTTTTTAGTGGGGATTCAGACCGCTTTTGGAGGGAGCACCCCGTATTAAGAGGACGGGTCCACTAATCTGGGGTCAACACTAAAAGGGAAATAATTTAAAGGGACACCAAAAGGAAACCGAAGCTCATGATTTGGGGGTCCTCAACAAAAGATACATAAAGAAGAGAACATAACAATCTGAGGCATCAACGCAATCTCCCCAAAAGGATCCGTGCTGAGTGTCCATGTAAGAGCATGGCCCCGTCCGGCTTCGCCAAGGGGAGACGGACTGGGGGCCCTTGCTTTAGCTCCCGCGCAGACATCTGCTGCCTGGGAGGAGTAGCGGGTTGGGCCGAGTGAGCTGTTGCGTGCAAAGGTGGGGTGGGTCAAAATCCCGCCCAGGGGCTTACTTGCTTGTCGCTGGAAGGGGAGCAAAAGCTTAATTTCTAGCAGTTAAGTGGGGATTTCCCACTAAACCACAATAAGCAAAAATGAAAAATGCTTCCCAACAACAACCGTGCTTAAGCTTCAGGCGTACAGAAAGCGAACCCCTTGATGCTCAACAAGCCCCTCCCCAACCCCCCACCCCAACCCCCCACCCCACCCCCCTCGCGCGACTTCCCTGCGTTGGCCGAGTCGCAGCCGTTCGACCATGGGCCGCTCAGCCACGCAAACGGCCGCCTCCAGTGAAGCGCAAACATGTCGAGGCGACTTCCTACTGCCACATTCAACATGCGAGTTTTGAACACGCGGCAGGCCGAGTGGGTAACTAATGCGATGGGTCATCCTGCAACAAACAATTGGGGGGGGGGGGGGGGGGGCGATAAAACATTGCCAAGTGGGCGTGATTCTTGAATTTGGCTTTTGGGGCGGTGTTTGAAAGGCCAGGTCTGCTTAATTGCTCAGCACCTAGGAATCTCTGAAAGGAGTCTTGATGTCCCTGAAAGGAATCTTGATGAGGTCAGCTAGGTCTGTTGATTCTGAACAAAAAGTTTCTGTTCTGCCCCCAGAAAACTTCTGACTTTTGTGTGAATGCTTCACACCTTGTTGCCCCAAGCGACTAGACCGAGACTGCCCAACTCCGAGAACTCAGCGACCTCTCGCATGTCCTTCAGCGCAAGGCATGGTGTTATGCCTCAAAATTAGGAACCCCACCCGGGTGGCGAGTTTCCGTTTTGGCTGACTTTGAAGTCACACACACACACACACAACATGTTCAACCTATGTTCTTGGCAAATAATAAATATGCACACCCCGTAAATACGGGGTTATGGGTCAAATTGAACCACCAGGATATGGACCGAGGTTTTAGTCCATATTTACTTTTATCAGGGCAACCCCTTTTGGATACCAATTTTTGACCCACAGCCAAGAGATCCCTATGAGAGTTGCCACGCATCGCCACCTGCTGTTCAAGGTGAAAAACAAGAAAACCCTTTTGATGTTCAGGAGAGGGCCGAAGGGCGACGAACCTCCATCTCAGGGGATTTCTTTGATGGAGACGAAGCCATGGTTTCTGAATCTTCAGTGCTTGGACTTGATCGTGGACATCCTTGGGGACTGGTATCCACCGATCAAGGGTGCTCTGACCACGATAGTTTTTAGCTGACCTAGGTTCCTCACGGAAGGCTGTACATGAAACCTACCAAAAACGAGTTGGGATTCCCAAAGGCTTGAGTTAGGGTGACGTCGCGGTTCATTGATCCCAAAACTGAACAACTTTTCGTGGGCACCTCTTAAACCCCACCAGTCAAAATGTCTACGGCTGGGGAACCGGCAAGGTTTACTTGGCTGGCGGGGCTTGGAAACCATGAAGTTTCTCGCTTGGCGGGTGGGTCTGTGGCCGAATTCGGCTCGAAAGCTAGCCACTTAAGGTTCGAGCAACGAGGACTAGTTGCTGGCAACACTAAGTCAAGTCGTCCCCTTCATATCTGAATACATTTGGACCTTTCGGACGACTCCTATTTCTGGGGGGGTGAGTAGGATCAAGCTTGCATCACCTGCTTCACTCGCGGGTCGGGTCCCTCTGAAACTACAACTAGGTCCTCCAGATTTGCGAGGTTAGAAAAAGGGCTCCCCCCAAAAAGGGGTGAGAAAGGGCACTACAGGGGGGACCTAGACAAACCAACCGAAAACTTGGGACGCGCATGGCACCTCTAGGACCCCACTTGGCCTGGCGCAAGTCCCCGACACGCCGTGCGAGCTTTCTGCCTTCGGACGTGGGATCTGCGGACATCGGAATTTCGGGCCCGTCCCTTGGGGGATTTAGTCCTTCCCTGATCTGCTCGTGTTGGAGGGGAAATCAAATCTAGGGCTTGCCCCCTGGCTTTTGCGAAACTTAGCATTTGTCCCCAGTTTTCGCGGTTGAAATCTAGGTGGATTCAAAGGAAAACCGAAAGGAAAACGGAAATCCATGTTTGGGTCCAAATCCAAAAAAGGAGGAGCCACCCACATGTTGCAAGGCAAGTTAAACCAAACACCATGATTTGGGACGTCAAAATGACGAATCTCCTTTCGCTTTCCATTTAAAGCCAATTGACAGACCCATGCGGCTGTGGCTCAAAAACAGGTACCAAGATGGAACCCTGGGAAGTGGAAGCATGGACCAAAACCTGCGTAACCCCTCCTGTTTAATTTTGAGCCACACCCATACCACAATTTCGGCACTGTGGCCGGACGTTGGGGTGGGAGACACAGCCATGGGGGACCTTACCTGGCGAAGGAGCTGGACAAAAAATCAGCCCAGTCGATTCCACCCAAAGGACCTCGGTCCAAGGAACTCGGAGCCGGCCAGTTGAAGGGGAACTTCAGCTTCTCTGGCTTGGCTCCCAACCAATCCTCAAGACCTAAGGGAAGCCAACCCCCAGTTCAAGGCTACCTGAGACCTCCCTCTTTACCCCAAAAAAAAACAGACAGGGGAAAAAGGGATTGGGATATCCCCAGCCACTCAGACACCCTTCAACCACCCACCCCTTGTAGCTACTCCCTAGAGGCCTCTCCCAAGAAGAGAAGCCTTTTTTGTCCCTCTAAACAAACCCTCCAAAAGCGGAATTCGATCGTTTCGAAAGAAGCCACCAGTGACTCGCAACGTAAGCGAAAAAAAACAGTGACCCGGATGTGGATTTAATTTAAAAGTGAACTGCAACATGCAAGATCATATCTGCAAATTTTACTATGATTCCAAAAGCTGAATTCAGGATCTTGACCATAGCTTTCGCTCGTTCTACCCCCGGATCGGCGAGCTCGCTATAGTATAGGCAGACCGCAGACCACATTCTTTAAAAAAGAAGAGCCTTCTTTCCCCTTGCGTGTCAGACCAAGCCCCTCAGACCAGCCACTCTCCCCCCGCCGGTTGCAGCTGGGGCCCCGGCGGGAAACGCGCCACGACACGGCGCTCGCCAAGCCCAAGCTGCTCAGCGCCAGCGTCTGCGGGACATCGAGGCCGACGGCTCGGAAATCGCTCGAGGCTTCCCTCGATTTCGGTTGGGTGGGTTGGTTTGGAGCGGGCCCGGTGGCTTGGCGTTTTTTTCGCGGTGGCTTCCCAACCTGCAAAATATGGTACTAAAATGGTCGAAATACCCAGAACCATGCTTCAAGAATTGACAGGGCGGATATCCGCGCCCATGGGAGTGTCCCTTACCCTTCAATTACCCGGCATATTTGATTGTGACTCAACTGAAGATGTATACGTACAGAGAAGGTTGTGTAGGAATCTTGATTTGGACCACGCTTCAAACCTGTAACCTCGCATGCAAACGTGTCGGCCAAAGGGCAGGACATGCGGAACAGTCTGACCACCAGATCGTCTGAGGTCATATCTAAAGAGTCACGTCTTAAGAGAAGCATCATGCCTCTTGCGCCAGGGGCCAAAATAATTAGGTAGTCGGTAGTGGGGCACTGTCGAATCAACTCGGAGGGTATCCTAAGTCTACCAGCCAGAAGGGTCCGCCAAACCTCCATGAGCTCCACTTTTTGGCTACCCCAAGGTAGACTCGAACCCAGACATTTCCTGCAAGGGGAACTGAAGTCTACCTTGGAGGTCAAAAACCAAGAACCCACGCCACCACTTGACCCGCCAAGAACATCTCCGAGCTTCGCCCTCGCTAGCGCGGCCTGCGAGGCCAGAGTTTCGGCGAAGCCTGGGCGGGGTGTGGCGAAGATATAACATGGGAGACTCCTGTGGGCTTCCTGTGGGCTTCCTGTGGACTTCCTGTGGGCTTCCTGTGGACTTCCTGTGGGCTTCCTGGTTGCCTGCTGGTCTGTCATGGCCAGAGTTCAGCTCAATTGTCAACCTCCAGAATGTGCAAGAACTAGAAGTCTGGCTTACCGCATTTTAGGGCAACAAGGACCCCCTCTTGCCATAAAGGCCTGAAGGCCATTGCATTGGGTTCCAATTTAATTTGTTAAGCGGATCGGCCCCCCAAAAAGCCACCACACTTCGTGTCGCTGCGAAAAGGATCTTCCCCACCAAACACCGTAAGCCCCAGGTATCCCACCACCAGCCCCGGAACCGGAAGCCGGAAGGAACCTTCCGCTCGGACCGGAAGCCTCCCCGAAGCTCGGAAGCACGAGCTGATTGGGCGGATCCTGATCAGAGAGGAAGTCAACCCTGGGAATGGTAGTCCTGGTCCAGCGGAAAGGAATCCAACCACCACAAAGGACCGTAATCCCTTACAAAGGAGTCGGACAATATTGCTCAGGGGTCAAGATGGCCTTGGGGGGCCATGACTCAAGCGTTTTGCTCCGGCATTGCTCGGGCCAGGTTCGCCGAGTTGCCGATGCTTTCAGCTACCAAAATTGGAGGAGTGCGTCCTGACTAACACATGGACCCCTGAAAGTCGAGCTGATCAAGCGTCGGTCTTTCAACTGTTCAGCGCGTGGGAACACGCCCACAACAGCGGCTGGGTCAACTGAAGTGGTGGGCCAAACCCATGGGCAGGAAAACTTACGCCCGCGGTTCGCTCACGTGGAACTGAGTGCCCGAACATCTATCTGGGGCCCGGCTGGCCCGCTCAAAGGTCTAAAGGTCGTCGCTCACAGGGTAGGATGAAAAACCACAAACAGACGCAAACAAAAAGCGCTTGAGCCTCGAGGACCCATTTCTTCACCCCACGCATTCAAACCTCCAGAGGGGTTAGGTGTTGAAAGAACCGTCCTAATTACCTGACGCGGAAGTGCCCTATTTCCAAGAGGAATATGGCAAACCTGTCTTCCTGAAAGGCCCTGTGCTCTCTGCCAATCCTTTTTTGGGAAACGGCCCGGGCACGCGCGAAGGGCGAAGGCTTCGCTCGAGTCGAGGGCCTCTGGGTTTCAGGCGGTTCGACCTCCGCACATTCGTGGAACGCGGCTGGCGCGCCACCGGTATTGCTGCCTCCCAGCCGAGTCGGGGATGTACTGGCCATGGGTGTTCTCAAAAACAACGGCTTCAACAAATGCACCTGGGTGTCCTTTTGGTTCCCCTTAAAATATCAAACAGCGCCCATGTTAAGAGACTCCCACATGGCAGCAAAACTGAACATCTCTAATACCCAAGTGATGAATTCCCACATAGCTGAACACCCACTAAAAGCTAGGCTGTGAAGAAAATAGCCGAGAGTTGCTACACTAGTTCCAAAACTAAGAAGAAATCCTGAAAGCATCATGGCTTTTCACTCGTTTGCCCCCGATTGATGGGCTCGCTCGAATTTGCCCAGAACCTCTGGCCCAAAGGCATGAGTCAACCGCATGGAGTGCTTGGAGGCTGCGCTTTCGCGGTTCCCGAAGAGCATACCATGGAACTTGACTGAGACGACTTTCCTTTTAAAGGGACGCGGTGGGCTCCATGTTAGTAGGAGGGCAAATTTTGTCGTTTTGAATCATTTTGGTGAGTGGCAAAGAGTTGACGTCCTTAATGGGGTCGTTTTGAGGTTCCAAAATTTGTGGCAGGGTTCCAATGGTCCTCACTCCAATGGCGGGTGCAATGCTTACGTATGGTCCTAACTGTCCCTAGTCCCATTGATCTTCCCTAAAAATAGAAAGAAACCGGACATCCACACACCTGAACTCATGTATTTGAGGCACGGAAAGAACAAATGCTGTAAACTACTGTACTACAAACCTGCGGAAGTCTTTTCAGAATTCCCGAAAGGAAATCATTGGGACCGAGCTCACAAACCCAAAAAATATAATTCTGCCTGGCAAAATTGGGTTCCAAAAATAATCGTGGGCCCAAAACGGGGTGGGTTTGCTTTGGACTTCCCAACTCAGGTCCATGTCCAATTAGGTCCATGTCCAATGATTTTCCAGTAATTTACCTACGATTATAACAACCTCTCTTAAAGTGCACTGCGCAATCCCTGAAAAAATGTCTTCGTTTTTCTCAAGTTTAAATCCATTGCAATACAAATCTCTTTTGGCGCAATATTTTTGCTACTTCATCTGATCATGTTCGATCACCTGGCGGAGGCTTCCTGCACCGCGCAAAGTCCAGTCCCACAGGCCCACTTCTCCTTTCGGGACCTAAAAATCAGTGACCTTTGGGAAAATAGATGGCCGTAAATCCAATCTAAACCAGTGCCCGTGTCGAACAAGACTAGCCTGACAAGGACGGTAATTCAAAAAATAGCTGCCAAAACGGACCAAAACAGGAGTCTGCGCAATTAGTTTCCAGGGAGGAGCCCCCCAGTTCCGCCTTTAAGGGGGCGCAAATGTCTCGGAGTCCTTTTCACCTCCGTTTTGAGGGCTTTGAGGGTCACACCAACCTTAGTGCTTCGTGCATCCCTTGCAAAAAGTCTGGAAACCAAAAGGAAAACCCACCAGGTCACCATCCTTTGGGGAAAACACACACACAAATACAGTTCAGATTGCCGAAGGAATCACACCAGTGACCAAGTTGGTCGCACCTGCCATCCACAAGCGCCCAAGGTCATAAAATGCTCCGCTGCACGCCTATGCTGCCAAAGGTGTGCTTTTCTTCAAGCATCGCTTGAAACAAGTGCATCCTTAAGAGAAAGCGGAACAACAAAACACCAAGCAAAACAAACAGCAACCAACAACTCCCCCCCCAAAAAAAAAATGAAGAACCCCCCCCCCCAAAAAAAAAAAAAACAAGAGAGTTCGCCCGAGTTTTTTTCTCCGATCTGCCGTCTATCTGCCGATCCTCTCCTCTCCCCGGGCCTCATAGGCAGGCACTAGCTCCATGGCAGGCACTAGCGCAAGAACCAACTGGATTCG